GTAGCAAGAGATTGAAGTAGAAAGGGCTGAAGGTATCAGAGTTTGTGAAGTCAGTTGTCAAAAAGTCAATGAGAGAGTCCAGATGAAAGGTGTGTCCATCAGCGAGAAAGGAAGGTAAAGAGAGAGCAGCGGAGCGAAGACGACGACGGAGGTAAATTCTGTGTGCTCGTTGATAAAGTGGGCAGTCTAACAGAATGTGGCTGTCTGATAATGGAACATGACAATTCTCACAGAGAAGAGCAGGGCGCCTCTCCATGAGATATCCATGAGTAAGACGAGTATGGCCAATACGAAGATGGGAGAGAGTAGTCTCCCAACCTCGACACTGGTGACAAGAAGATGGCTGGAAACCTATACTCGGTTTAATAGATTGAAGTTTGTTACCGAGCATAGTAGACCATAGTCCGTAAATGGAATACCTCTATATGAAACTGGTAGGTCATGTACTGCTGACCGTGCAGCAGTGTCTGCCTGTTCATTGCCCTGAATGTCAACATGACCAGGGACCCAACAAAAAACAATATCTTTATGCTTGGTAAAGATGCGGCGTAGCCAAAGTTGGATATGGAGGACTAAGGGGTGAGGTGTATAAAATTTCTGTATAGCCTGTAAAACACTAAGGGAGTCTGAGACAACCACAAATGATGACACAGGCATAGATGCAATACAGATAAGTGCTGCAAGAATGGCATACAATTCACAGTAAAAATACTAGCCGAAAATAGCAAATGCCCTCGTACGATGCTGTCCGGAAACACTGTTGCGAATTCTATGGCGTCAGAAGACTTAGAGCCATCTGTGTACACTGCAATGGCATGAGAATGAGAGTGGAAGTGGTCAAAAAAAAGAGAGCGGGAAGCTACCGTAGACAGTTGGGCTTTCGAGCAAGGGAGAGAGAAAGAACAGACTCGAACAGCTGGAACTTCCTAGGGGAGTAGGGAAAAGTGAGATGCTACATGAACATAGAAAGGTGGTAATTGAAGAGAAGAGAAGAGCGAATGTAGGTGAAGAGAGAAGGGACGGAGTAAACAGGGGAGGTGAACAAATAAAGAATGTCTACAAATATCAGTGACCTTTCTATAAATGGATGGATTGTGGAGATCATGAGAGCGTACATAGTAGCGAAGGCAATGGACATCACGGCGATCAGATAAGGATGGAACGTTCGTTTCTGCATAGAGGCTCTCAACAGGGGAAGAGCGAAAAGCACCAAGGCATAAATGTAATCCTTGGTGATGAATGGGGTTAAGGCTAGAGAGAGTAGCAGGAGAGGCCGCTGAATAGATCTGGTCACCATAATCAAGTTTCGATAAAATGAGGGTGGAATGTAGGCAAAGGAGAGTTCAACGATCAGCTCCCCATGAAAGATGAGCAAGGGTTTTAAGAAGGTTCAGCTGGCTGTGACAAGTTGCCTTCAGAGAGGTAATCTGAGGTTTCCAGGACAACCTACGTTCAAAGAGGAGGCCCAGAAACCTGGCTGTATCACGTTCAGGGATACGGGAGCCATAGAGGTACAAAGGATGATCGGAGATGACAGGGCATCTAGTGAAAGTAATTTGGTGAGTTTTGGAACTGGAAAATTTAAACCCATGTGTGGTGGTCCAATTGGAAACACGGTCGACCGCATGCTGAAGAGAAACTGTAATGAGGTGACAGTCAGCGCCTGCACAGGCAATAGCGAAATCGTCAACATAGTGATGACCAAATATTTGATGGAAGACTAGAGGCCAAATCATTTATAGCAAGGAGAAAAAGTGCTGTGCTCAGAACACATCCCTGGGGGACACCTTCAGCTTGGATAAAGTCTGGAGAGAGCACATTACTAACCCGAACACGGAAATGTCTGTCAGTTAAAAAGTTCTTAAGAAAGGATGGTAGATTGCCTCAGAGACCTAAGGAGTGGGCTTGGGCCAAAATATTATACCTCCAAGTTGTGTCATATGCCTTCTCAAGGTCAAAAAATATGGCAATAACTGAGTGGTTATTCGCAAAGGCATTACAAACATACGTATCCAAGCATAGTAAGGGGTCTATGGTAGAACGTTCCTTACGAAAACCATATTGAGTTGAGAGACTGTTGTGTGTCTCTAAATACCACACTAAACGTCGATACCGAGGCTTGTGAGGGAGAACACGAAGAAGCGAGAAGAGGCTGAGGCATTGAAGTAGGGACGTCTGAGCCCAGGGCAGCAAAAGAATTAGATACAGGAGTGACTATGGGAGAGGTAACCACAGAGGAGGCTGCAGAAGATGGGACCTCAGAAGTGGGGGGACGTTTTGAAACACAGGAATAAGAAGCACGAGGTAGTCTCCCTTGGAGGCGGAGATGAGAAACTGCCATGGCATAAGGGAGACCTTCTGCCTCTTTGAGGTAACGGATTTCCCGCTCATTTAAGTAGACTTGGCAACGGCGAGAGTACGAAGTGTGAGCTTCATGACAATTAAAGCAAGAGGGAGGTCGATTGCAAGACGTATTAGAATGGTCATCGGCGCCACAGACTGGGCATTCGGCTATAGATCTGCAATATTTCGCTGGATGGCCAAACCGCCAGCAATTTCTACACTGTTGCAGTGTAGAGATCACCTTTCGAACTTATAACCGATGTCCTGCTACATAAACTGAGGATGGGAGTTCACGGCTGTCAAAAGTTAAACTAGCCACATTGCTAGTGTATCGTCTCTGCCCGCGGGCAGGAAGAACATAAGTGTCTACCTTGAGGATTGGGAGATCTTGGAGTTCCAGCTGTTCAAGAATGTCATTGCCACATGTCTGGAAATTTTGTTGAACTATGGTATGGGGCAGAATGACGGTACCACTACAAGAATTGAGGGAATGATGTTTTTCAATAGTGACAGGAACAGTATCGATATGGGAAAGAAGAGAAAGATCATGAGCTTGGGTAGCATTCTGTATAGTGATGATGCGCATACCACTCTTAAGAGCATGAAAAGAAATATCTTTACCAACATGGCATAGGAGTGCCTTGCCAATACTATGGTCGGAAAGATAGGCAATAGAGGAAGTCGGTCGTAAAGTGAAGAATTTAGTCCATTGTGCATTCTGAAACTGAGCGTGGAAAGGGAGTGCAGGAAGTGTCGATCTTTTCTGAGAAGAACGAGAAGGTGGAGAAGTATCATCAGCAGGTAATTGTCGTTGGCGTTTAGGCGTGGGACCAGAGTAGGTCCAATGTGGAATGGGCCGGCGATTCGAAAATTGCCACACCGTAGAGGGAGAGGCCTGAAGCATAGTCAAAGGAGAGCGGAGGTCAGATAAATCGAAGGAGTCAGTTGAGACCTCAGTACCTGAAGCAGGTGAGGAAACAGCACCGGCAAGAGGTACAGAGGCATTAGGAGTGTCCGAAGAGTGGTCCAAAGACGAGGCAGGGTCAGAACTGGGTGCAGTATCAAGAAGGGGCCCGGGGGTAGCAGGTTCATGGACTAGGGATTCCATGGTTAGGTTACTTCTTTCTTTTTGTTTTTAAGAAAAGAAAGAAGAAAAGAAAATAAAAATAAAAAAAAGAAAAACAGGGGGGACCGGGGAGGGATAGTTCCTAGGAGGAATGAAAGGGCCAGAAATCTCCCTCTGTGCCCAAGAAGACCTCAGCACCGCAAGTAGTGAAGATGCAGCATGGAACCCATGCCATACCCTACCCATTATGCCAGTAAACCAGCAATCTGGGATAGCAACCTCACATCTGCCGAGCTACCTCGGTGGACAAAAGAGAGGGCGGCTGGATATCTCCCACAAAGCATACCTCCTTCGGCCACCACCCCCGGAATCTGAAAGGTGGCTTCCAGAGATACACCCGTCGCCCGAAAGACACCAAAGCCACCCTCCAGAATACCGGAGAGGGATCGGGACATAACCAGGCAATCCAGATTCCACGGCAAACTACGCCACCGCCAAGAACCTCAACAGAATGGGATGGACCCCGGTACCCTTTCCCTTACCTAGGAACTAGTGTGCCTGTGGGAAAAATTCCCAAAGGCCAAAAAGGAAGGGCAAAAGGGAGCGGTGGGGAGGAGGAGGAAAGGAAAAAGGGGAGGATGGGAGAAAGAAGGGGGGATTGGGGGGTAATTAGGCTCGGTCTGAGGAAGGAGACCGACAGGGATAATTCCTCAGACCAAGAGCCTCTTCACCACGCCAAGGAGCCCCCCTTGAAGAGGCAGTAGATTACAAAGATTGGAAAGAAGCATTACTTCACGAATATAATGTATAGGTCCAACAGAATTTCACTAGTCTTCTGCTATCATAAGTTGTTGAGTTGCACAGGAAAATTTGTGTTTTTTTTTAATACGTTGGTATATTAGGTTGTGAGACTAAGCTTTCTCATCTTCATATCGGGCACAAACGTCTCACTCATGGGTATCTCATGGAGAGGCGTCCAGTTCTGCCGTGTGTGTATTGTCAGGTTCCAGTTCCAGTTTGCCATATTTTGTTGGACTGTTCAGTATATCAGCGAGCATGCAGAATTTACCTCCGACGTCGTTACTGCTCTAACACCCTTACTTTATCTTCCCTCCTCGCTGACGGCCCCACCTTTGACACAGATTTCCTCTTTGACTTTATGACAGCAACAGAATTATTACTCAGCCTTTGATTATAATTTAGCACTCTTTACAGACCTTACAACCTCTAACCTGCAACTCTGTATGCCCTCGGTGGTTTAGCGCTTACGTTTGATCATAATCAGCCTCCAGTAACACTTGATTATGAAGCTCTGTTTGCCTGAGCATTATAAGGTGACTCCTACACAGGCGGGTATGTCGAATGAAAAAAAATAATTTGCAATAGTTAACGTAAATTGATTATGATATTTAGGTCTTGATAGAGCAAGGTAATTAATATAAATTTCTTTGTTTTCCTTTACAGGTAAGTGTGGATTACTGGTCATCGTTGGACAACTCTCGCACCGCATGTCAGGTATGTATATTCCTACTTTAAATACACCTAACCAACGAGCACAATGTCACTGTCAGTTGTATCAACACTTGGGAATTATCATTGGTGTTACTTCTGATAGTTTCTAATGTGAAACTTGTGGGAAATACAGTGTGTTCCAGACTACCTCAGGTGCTCGTGGTTGTCTGGTTCCCACGAGTCTACAAAATAGTTTACTAGTGTGTGACAGTCACCTGGATGTATTTAATGTGTGAAGGATTAGGACCACCAATAGGTAGACGCTTGTCATCTTCAGTAACTGCAGAAAATTCGGTCTTCTGAGCAAAGATCAACACAAACCTGTAAAGCAAGAAGTTGTTCATAATTAATTCATTGTTGAACCGTATAGTTTTATCCTAAAAAAGTAATATGTAATTGCCAGCACTTATTTCTTTCTCAATATTCTCAGATTGTCATTATCAGAGTGTTTAGTCTGGCACGAACCTGGCACTGTTGTAGCGGGAAACTGGCACTGTTGTGGAGGGAAGAAAATTGAGTTATTTTACCCAAGATGAAAATATCAAACATTGTCTTTTATGAGTACGACTTATTTAGATTTAATATTAATTTAAGTGATCACTGAGAACAGTGTAGCAACAAGCAGTGAATTTATGTATTAGCGGCCTATTTGATGGGTTCAGTGGAAATGTTATTCAAGTCTTAGCTGACGTATTCGTGGGAAAATATTTTGTGATTATTTTATTCATAAATTATTTTGTCTTGACGGGTATTGACTGCAGCTTTTATAACTTAAAATCTAAACTGAATAGTCATTTGGATTTTTTTATTCACAAATGGAAGCATTTTTTAAGAATATTTGCAATGGAAATTCAGCCACATGTTTAAAAAATTCTCTATTTTTAATTATACTTATAGTTAAGTAAAAAAAAGTAGCTCCAGCCGCAGAGGTAAACAATTAATCTTCATTATCCTCATACTTAATGAAGTTGTGGAATATCGTGTGGATGAGGAAGTTGTAGATGAATGGTTCAAAGAACCGACATGTTGTTAAATAGGCACATGTGTCTAATTTAACAACATGTCGGTTCTTTGAACCATTCATCTACAGTCCTGTCAGACACTGCAACTTCTTGGGATCTTAATACTTGGGAATTCTTCGCTTGCCTAACCCTTGGGCACGACCTACTTCCACATTGGACAAATGTGACACCACCTACGACTGCTGCACCTCTCCTGCCTACGGTTTATAAGCTGCTTCTCCGCTCATATGCCGTATTCTATTCAAGATTGATGGACTGACCACATCGACTCAAGGTTGAGGGACTGATTACCTCATTCTCCTCCTTTTCTTCAAGTTTCTCCTATGTATGGACTGATGAAGCCACTGTGTGGCGAAATGTTTCCTCAATAAAGATACCCAAGAGTTGCACATGTGTCTAATTTAACAGGATGAGGGAGTAACGTTGCTTCACTACTTCAAGTTTTCATAATGATTGTAAACCATTTAGTTAATTTTGCGTTTTTTTTTTTAACAGTAGCAAAGAACATTTTTCTAGCATGCACGAACACTAATGACAAACCAGAGTACCAGAAATAACTATACTAGAAATAATCTCCGTAATCAGGCTTACCAAAGAATTTTTATTTTCCCAGCATCTTAATCCATCCTATAAGTAGAAGAGGCCTAATTTCAGTGGTAATTCCTCACATTTTTAGCTGGTTTTCAATCTTTGTAGAATATGTAGGAATGTGGAAAAGAAATATACTGGCATGTTTCATTTCTAGTTATCGCCTTGTTGGAGATATGGAAATAAATGGGTTGGGTACGTTATACGTCTTGTTGGGGATATGGAGATGGATGGGCTGCTTACGTGGAAGATGAGATTTAAATGAGCAACAATTATCTTGTGAAGAATATATGTATATTTAATGATGTCCAAGAGGAGGCTATTACAATATTACAAATTTGGTAAAAGCTTCTAGGGGAATGTAAAGTAATCGGCCTATAGTATAATTAACAAACTAGCCCACTACCAAATCTGCAGTATGCAATATAGTCAGGAGTACAAAAACACTTACAATACTTCTTAATGTTAACTAGTAAAATTATTGTTTAACATGAAGTATTTTCTTTGATTTACAAAGAATCTTTGTAAAATAAAGTATATTCTTTGGCATTATTATCACATTACAATAACAATTAGTCATGACCCTGCCTACCCAGTGTCACAAGACACTACCCTTCCCCAAGTCTCATGACACACTACTCCGTGTCACAATACGTCCTTGTCTCTGTTACGACGCTCCTTCTCTCCGTGTCACGCAACACCCCTTCTCTCAGTGTCACACGACACCATGTTCTCTGTCATGGTAGTCTTTCTTTGTCACAGACACTACATTTTGTACAAGGTTACATGACACCATGTTAATGGTATTCGATTCTCTGTGTTACACCCTTCACCTGTGTTATTACAGACAAACTCACACACACGACACCACTGACACTACAAGTACCAGATCTAGTGTCCTTCAAATGACACTACCTCCACTGTGTCTTCACACGACACTACCTCCACTGTCTTAGAACTTCGTGGGATAGCCAGCAGGAAACCAAGTCCCGCCGGTTCGTGTCAAAGTCCGTCTCTGCCTGAGGCCGTCAGGTGAACTTAGTGGGTTCTCAGGCAGTGGTGAATACGCTCTATGGTGAATACACTCTGACACTGAGGCCGGGTGAGCAGCCTCCTACATTGGGTGTGCTGACGTCACACAGGGTACTGCCGTGTAACAACCATAGCAGCACCCAAGTGGTCAGTCAACCACCTCCCTTTATTTGTTTCTTTCTGGGTTCGCAACAGAAGCAAATTTACTGGAGCTTCCTTCATGGTCAAGCTGTGATGCACAATATCGACAGGTTAATGAATAGGACGCGTTTTCACCACATGACTATATTTGTCGTAACATTTCACGCAGCAGACTTCTGTCTGATGTAGGCGACATTAAAACCGGAGAGTCGAGAAAATCCTTCCTTGGCATTTTTTTCAACATTTTCTAACTCATCGGTTTCTAACATCTATCTATGAAGTGGTTCAAAACGACTTTAAAATTGAGGGGAAAGGGGTCCCTTGGCACTGCGTAGGGATCAAAATATTAGACCTATTGTCTTCTTCCTCGAATCAAGTCTAAATGCCAGATAAATGCACTTTTCCTCTCCCTCCTTGTTATGGGAAATGTTTCCACAGAGTAATTCAGCTCATACATATTCTTCTCTCGACCCTCGGATAGAGAGGACGTCCATGGAGCTGCACTTTTGACCCCTGGCAGCAGGTGACAGTACTTTCATCAAGGCAGAAAGTGGACATAGGCGTGTCAACACTGTGTGGAACTGGTGAGGGGCGCACTCAATGGCCAGAATACCCATATGTTGCTGACAGCAATATTGAGGGCCATGTATGGGATCGCTAACAAGGACCTTTACGGCGTTTCACTGAGTGGTGTTACAAGAATTCTCGTCAAAATCCGGCAGGGCAGCACTTATGAAAACATGGTGGTCAAGTACCAGGATGTGGTTAAGCCGGTTAACCCTGGCATTAGTGTCCGCCTCCATGATGTGTCAAGGTTCTGCACCTGGATCAATATGCCTGGATTCTAAGAGTGTTAGGGTGACTAAAGGTAAACCCCTCTTATATCCTTCAAGTGTCTTACTTAAAATGTTAATGGGTTGAAATCAGTGGGCAAATGTAAGGTTTTAGAGGTATTTTTGAGGAGATATGTACCAGACCTTCTGTTCCTGCAGGATCATAATTATAAATCATTGGGCGAATTAATTACTGGATATGAGGTGCATAGGTTGTTCTGCACGAGTGAAAGATGGCGAGGCGTTGTTAATTAAAGAAACCAGCCTGTTTCTTATGCAAAGATGTGAGGTAGGGGAGGAGGAGCGGGAGGTTCGGGTGGATGGTATGTGGGGTGGGGTTCAGGTGGGTTTCATAGGGGTGTATGGGCCTGCGGAGGGAGACGGGTGTTAAAAATAGATTCTTTAGGGACGTCATTGTTTACCATTTAAGATCACTGCCAGTCATTACAATTATAGGAGGTGATTGGAACTGTTGTATGACGTAAAGACGTAGAACCTAGAGAGAGGGTTTTTTCAGGGTATTTAGGGGATCTGATGCGAGGTGTGAATGTAGTGGACGTGGGAAGGGAGGCGGTGGGTGGGGTGATGCATACGTTTATTAAGCACGATTATGCAGCAAGGCTTGATCGGATCTGTCTCTCAGGGGGTGAGGGTGGGCAGTGTGTGTACATTGAATGTGAGTTTCTCTGATCATAGAGGGGCTCTGGTGGACTTGAATTGAGAGGGATTGCCAAAGCAATGAATGTTAGGTTATTGTGCAAAGGGGGTTACCTGGAAGTTATTCCGGGGATCAACGCCCCCGCGGCCCGGTCCACGACCAGCCCTCCCGATGGATCAGGGCCTGATCAACTAGGCTGTTACTGCTGGCCGCACACAGTCCAACGTATGAGCCACAGTCCGGCTGATCCGACACTGACTTTAGGTATCTCTCCAGCTCTCTCTTGAAGGCAGCCAGGGGTTTATTGGTAATTCCCCTAATGCTTGATTGGAGGCTGTTGAACAGTCTTGGGCCCCGGACACTTATGGTGTTTTTTCTTAGTGTACCAATGGCGCCCCTACTTTTAACTGGGGGCATTTTGCATCGCCTGCCCAGTCTTTTACTTTCGTAGGGAGTGATTTCTGTGTGCAGATTCGGGACCATTCCTTCCAGGATTTTCCAAGTATAGATTATGATATCTCTCTCCCTCCTGCGTTCCAACAAGAAAAGTCAAGTGCTTCCAAGCGTTTCCAGTAGTTAAGGTGCTTCACAGAACTTATACGTGCAGTAAAGTATCTCTGTACACTCTCTAGATCTGCGATTTCACCTGCTTTGAATGGAGATGTTAATGTACAGCAGTATTCCAGCCTAGAGAGAACAAGTGATTTGAAAAGGATCATCATTGGCTTGGCATCTCTCATTTGGAACGTTCTCATTATCCATCCTATCATTTTCTTTGCACGTGCGATCGTGGCACTGTTGTGATCCTTGAAAGTGAGATCCTCAGACATTACTACTCCCAGGTCCCTTACATTATTTTTAAGCTCTATTTTATGGCCAGAGTCTGTAGTATACTCTGTTCTAGTTATTATCTCCTCCAGTTTTCCATAACGGAGTAGTTGGAATTTGTCCTCATTGAACATCATATTGTTTAGAGTTGCCCACTTGAAAACTTTGTTTATTTCTTCTTGGAGGTTAACCGCGTCCTCAGCAGATGACAGCCTCATGCAGATCCTAGTATCATCCGCAAAGGATGATACGGTGCTGTGATGTATATCTGTGTCTATGTCTGATATGAGGATGAGGAATAAGATGGGGACGAGTACTGTGCCTTGTGGAACAGAGCTCTTCACTATGGCAGCCTCCGATTTTAATCTGTTGCCCACTATCTTTGTGTTCGATTTGTTAGGAAGTTGAAAATCCATCTCCCCACTTTCCCAGTTATTCTTTTAGCACGTATTTTATGGGCTATTATGCCATGATCGCATTTGTCAAATGCTTTTGAAAAGTTGTGTATATTACATCTGCATTCTGATTTTCTTCCAGTGCATCCAAGGCCATATCATAGTGATCCAGTAGTTGTGAGAGGCAGGAGCGACCTGCCCTGAACCATGTTGCCTTGGATTGTGCAGATTTTGGGAATCCAGGTGATTTGCAATCCTGCTTCTTAGCACTCTTTCAAAGATTTTTATGATGTGGGACGTCAGAGCTATTTGGTCTATAGTTCTTAGCTAATGGAGTGGGGCTATATCCGTTGTTTTAAGTGACTGGAATTTCACCCATGTCCAAGCTCCTCCTCCATAGTGTACTTAGGGCATGCGAGAGGGGTTTCTTGCAGTTCTTAATGAGAACAGAGTTCCACGAGTCTGGGCCCGGGGCTGAGTGCATGGGCATGTTGTCAATGGCTTTTTCGAAATCTATCGGAGTTAGGGTAATGTCGGAAATCTGGCATACATTTATGAAGATTTGAGGCTCATTCATGAAGAAATCATTTGGGTCGTCGATCCTCAGACTGATTAGTGGTTCACTAAACACAGAGTCGTACTGGGATTTAATATTTCACTCATTTCTTGTTGTCATCGTGTAAGTCCCATCTTGCCTGAGTAAGGGTCCAATACTAGATGTGGTATTTGCCTGGTTTTTTGGCATATGAAAAGAAATATTTTTGAATTTCTTTCAATTTCACTAATAGATTTAAGCTCCCCCTGTCTCTCCTGGCCCCTGTAAGAGTCATTTAACTTAAGTTCGATAGTTTCCACCCCCCTGGTCAGCGCCTCCTTTGTGTATCAGATATTCTAGCACTCCTGAGGAGCTCTGGGGACTTTTTCATGTCTTCTGTAGAGGGAGCGTCTTTCTCCAGTTTACTCCTGCTCTTCTTCTTTCTTAGGGGAATATGCCTAGAACATGCTTCAGCTGCCAGGAAGTTGATCCTTTCAAGGCACTGGTTTGGACCCATGTCATTTAAGATATCTTCCCAACATGTTTCGTTTAGGACATGGTTTACCTGGTCCCAGTTGATGTTCTTGTTGTTGAAGTTGTATTTTGTGAAGACACCTTCACAGGTACTTGCATTCTGCTGTTACATGTATGTCTGGAATTCGATTAGGTTGTGATCGGAATTAGTTGTTTTTGATATTCTTATGTCTCTTATCAGGTCCTCATTATTTGTGAAGATAAGGTCAAGTGTGTTTTCTAGTTTTGTTGACTCCACTATCTGCTAGCTTAAGGTGTGTTTTTCACAGAGGCTTAGTAGCTCATGTGTGTGTGACCTTTCATCTGCGCTTCCTCCGGGGATTGTTTCAGCTATAATATTATTTGTTACATTCTTCTATTTTGTATGCCTTATTTTGAAATCACCAAGCAGTAAGATGTTTGGGGATGGAGCTGGAAGGTTTTCCAGACAGTAATCAATTATCAGTAGCTGTTCCTTGAACTGAAAATAAATGGTATAAAATACCGACACAGTGGAAACATAAACACATATGCAGTTTAATGTGATCCTTTATTGACAACGTTTCGCCCACACAGCCGGCTTTTTCAAATCACACACAGATCTACCTGGGGTGGAAGGTACGGGAGTATTTATAGTCGGGTTCAGACTGTTGAGGTCAGGTGGAGAATGCTGCATCTGATGATCTACCGGGTGGGGTTATAGAGTCTTGGGTAGCTTTGCAGGGGTATTGGACAAGTTGTGAGTAGACCTTCTGCAGTGTTCTATGTTCTTATGTGGGATAGCGATGAAGAAGTTTCTTCGCGAGTGGTTCAGCTGTTATAGAAGCCGTTGTTCTGGTTGAAATTGTTGGTTACAGAGATAAGCAATGATAAACCATACCCCGGCTGGGATTGAACCCGCGGTCAGAGAGTCTCAAAACTCCAGCCCGACGGGCTGGAGTTTTGAGACTCTCTGACCGCGGGTTCAATCCCAGCCGTGGTATGGTTTGTTTGCAATCGTGTCATTACGATTTCGTGAGTCATAAGCAATGATTCCAGGATTCTTCGGTACTGAGTGTTGTCTTCTGTGGCGATAAGTCTTGAGTTTCTGAAGTTAATTAAATGGTTGTGTGAATTGCGATGTTGTACACAGGCATTCCT